AAACTCTCATTGCCACTTGGAACACATAGTCTAGTTACCAGTTTCACAACTATTCTCAAAGACTTAGTAAGAAGAATATATATAATAGAAGTCCTTACTATCAATGCAGTTACTGAACTCCATAAAAATAATTTCCACAGTGGTGCAAATCACTTGATTAGTATAGTTGAGTTGAATTCTTTATCACAACTTTCTGATAGGTCCTTATTGATAGCTTCACTATGTAAGTGTTCTTTCTCAATGCCAGGTCTGACAGCCCTGGGCTTCAACCCAACTCTGCCACACATTAACTGTGAGACTTTGTTAACCTCTGTCTCTGACCTTTAATATTTTCAAGAACAAAATGGGAATAATCATGGTACTGACTTCATAGGATTGTTCTAAAGATTGAGATAAGGTTTTGGTTTTAACACAGTGCCTGGTCCACAGTAAATGTTAAAGTTCAGGAAATGGGCCGGGCACGGTGATGCATGCCTGTAATCCCAGCACTTTGGGAGGCTGAGGCAGGTGGATCACCTGAGGTCAGAAGTTTGCGACCAGACTGACTAACATGGTGAAACCATGTCTCTACTAAATACAAAAAATTAGCTGGGCGTGGTGGTGCATGCCTGTAATTCGAGCTACTTGGGAGGCTGAGACAGGAGAATCACTTGAACCTGGGAGGTGGAGGTTGCAGTGAACCGAGATCGTGCCATTGCACTCCAGCCTTGGCAACAAGAAGAAAGTTCAGAAAATGGTAGTCTTATTAATTGAAGGTAGACCCAGAAAGTACTTCCTTAGACTAAGGAAGTTATAATTTTACTACGAAAAGGATATACTGTGTTAACCTATTTGCGTGGTTTCTGAACTAATAACTTTATAGCGGAAAAGAAGCTGCTTAGGGTAGAGGAGTAGGAGGTGGGGTGGAGAATGCTCAATAAGAGATAAATTCTTGAGTCTTTTTTGTTGTATGGCATTTTAAGGAAACTTTGATCCAAGGTATGTCAGTGCTGCTGTTTCCTCATAGTAAACATTTTCTTTTTTAACTTATAAAATGATAGTGAAAGGTTGAATGTTAATGAGGATGAACTTCAAAGCTAAGGTTCCTTTCTGTAAAACAAAGGTCTCTACTGAAGCCTGTTTATATAATGAAGCAGAAATAGAAAACACTGGCATTTATTAAGAATAGCTCTCCCTATGGTGATTGTTTAATTATATGAGGTATGAGTCTAATTATAAGACTGGTTTCCACAACTCACACCAGAAAATTCACTCAACAAACAAAATTAAATGACCCTCTTGTTTTCCTCCCTAAGACAACTGTGTTTTACAACAGTTTGAAGCACACAGTAAACTTAATTATAGAGCGGGGCTTTATATAAGAACATGCACAGCTTTTTAAATAAGATGTTTTAAATTCCAATTTTAAAAGCTGTGCCCCTAAATGTTAATTGTAGTTGTGATATACATAAGAACATTTGGAAAATCAGCACATTATTTAAGCGGAAAACACGCCAGCCTCTTAAAACACATTTTTCCAGTGTCACATCAGATAAAGAAAACTCAAATCCAGTGCCCATTGGATTTCAAGTTACCTTTGGGATAAATTTGGTTAAAAGTGTGCACTTGACCAGTCAAAAAGGGCAGGTATATAATTCTTCAAACAAAAATTTACCTCACAAATACGTCTGAAGATAAGTACTGAATTTATTATAACTGGTAAATTTCATAGTCCTGGTACAAGCTGTAACCACTATTGACTAAAATTAGGTGTTTGCTTGCTCTGGAGATACTTCTGATGATCACCTACCCAACTGTTGCCTAATTTCAACCATCCTCCTCATGGCCAAGGGAAGAGTTGTGTAAACTACTCTGGGGTCATGTCAGTCTCCCCTGACCGTTGCCTCAAACGTGCAGATAAGAGAACCTGAAACAGCCAGTACTTGTACAGTGGTAGGTCACTCAGGTTGGCGGGGGAGGGGAAGGCAGTGCCACCCAATCAGGAACATGGTCAGTGCCTGTGGAACAATGAACTACTGATGAGGGTGTGGCCTGGAAAACGGCTCTTAGATGAAACTGTCATTTTATGGGTCAGCTATAGACAGACATGGCACTTCGGCTGTCTTCAGAATAATGTCACCTGGCCTCCTCTCCTGTCTTCTGCAGTCTTACAAGAACTAGTCCCCAATTGAGGTCTGGCTTTTCCTCAGCCCTGGATGAAGTGGAGGTATGTGGAAGTAAGAGTCTCAGCGGAGAGAATGGTTGCAGAGCTGAAGATGAGGGCGACCATCAGGAAAGAAGACAGCTATTGGAGTGCAGAGGAGTGGGAAAGCCTGGGGCTAGAAGTCAGGGTTCACGTTTGCATATACCTCTGTGTCAGTCCTTTACATGAGCTTAGAAGCTTGAAGGCTTAAATATTGCCTCATCTTATTTAACCTGGATGCTCTGTCTCTCTAGCTTACTGTCTTTATTTGCCTGTTTTCTGCAGTTCCTCACTTGATACCCTCCTTTTTATCAGTCAACAACTACCAAGTGCCTACCACTTGAAGGGGGCTCTGGGAAGGTGCTGTGGAGGAAACAAAGATATGTAGAAGATGGTTCCAAACCGGGAGCTTACAATTCAGATGAAGACAAAATAGAAGCAATTCAAAAGATAATCAAGGATAATTGTATGGGAAATAAGCCACTTAAGTGTAGACATTAAGAGCCATAATAGCTCAGCAGAAAAATTACTATGGCTAGAGTAGGCAAGCAAGCTTTCATGACAGATATCACTGTGCCTTTAAATTCAGAGTATCTCACTCTTTGGACTCCTGTGAAACCTGACTTTACATATAGGTGAAAAGTTGAATATAAAATCTATTAGGAAATTCTAGAGGAGAGATTTAGAGAAACTAATGGATATAATCGAACGCTAATTTCTCTTTTCATTTTTGGGTACTACTGAGTTTTCTTTACTCACACTCTTCATTCAGGAATCCTTCTTGGTTTATCTTTCGGGCGTCATTCACCTGCTTGCCTTTTGAGTCAGGTATCCTCATTTCTCATTCCAAGGTGCTTCCATACTTTGTCAGTACCCATGCTGTTCATGCTGTATTCTTGATGTGATAGAATTGGCCGAACAATTGATAAGGGTACCATCAACATGCATTGAAAGTGCTCTTAAATTACATACATCTTTTCCCTAGTTCATATACATCCCCAAAGTGCTATAAAGCATATACAAATGGGATATAGCATGATATAGTAGAAAGAACACGAACTTTCAACTCCCACAGACCTGGGTATTCCTAACCTAGGGCAAGTTAGTATCTCTGTGCTTCAGTTTTCATATCTATAGAAATCAGGTCTACTTCATAGTGCTGTTTGGATGATTAAATGAGGCAACCTATGTAGAATTGATACGGCTCCAATGAGTGGAGGAACACCAAAGTTCTTAGTCCTCATCCCGGTTTAGATAAAACGACAAGGACACACATGGAGTGATTTTAAGGAGTGGAAAATTTAATAGGCAAGAAGGAAGAGGAAAGAGGGAAGAAACTCCCTCATACAGAGACAGAGGGAGGGGAGTTCCAAAGCCGAGAGAGGGAACCCCCAGTGGGGTGGACTGGCAGCCAGGTATATATTACAGAGGCTGGAGGAGGCAGTGTCTGATTTGCATAGGGTTCAGGGGATTGGTTTGACCAGGCATATCATTCACTTAGCCCTGGAAAAAGCTGGCCCTGTCACCCTAGCCTTTTAATATGCAAATGCAGGGTGTCATAATGTTCTACACACGTGGGAATATGTGGGGGCGGCCATGTTTCCAGGAACATGTGGGGTAAGGGCAAGAAGGCCTCCAGAATAGCTATGTTGGGTGGGCCCAGTTTCTAATGGCCTTCACTTGCATATCAAAGGTTGCCAGCCTGGATCTAAGAGCCAGGGCTTTACAAGAAATTTTCTGGAGATGCTTTAAAAAATGAAAACTTCCCAAGGACCCCTTTTCCACTCTATCTGCCCAAAATAATTTCTTAATAACTCCTACAATAGAATGCTTCACATAAAAAGGTCATAATAAATTATACTTACAATGTGGTATGTGCCGGTAGAAAGGTAAATATCACTATCATTAATCATTTTGTGATGTTGCAGAACTTAAAGCAGAAAACTGTATCTTCAAAAATAGAAAATTTCTATTGTCTTTTATGGGTGTTCATAAGAAACTCCCAGATATTCATTTTAGATCTCCCTGCCTTTTAAACCTATAATTTTCTTCTTTTAGTTTCACATCTACATATGCCATCTTCATCTCAAAATGCACCTACTTTCCTTGTTTGGTCATCATAAACAGAAAAATCTGTCCAAGTTCATTCACATCACCTTAATTAAAACAACAGAATCTTAGCAATCATCTAATTCATCTCTGCACTGACTAAAATCACCTCTGTTTGAAATGCTTGTTCTCCAGTGCCGTAAAGAAATAGCACTTGAACATAAATTTAATTTATTTAGTAAGGCCATTTTTACTTCCTGCAGAAAGGATATACTCGCCAGCAGTTTTGCCACGAAAGTACACTGAACAAAGGAGACAGGGTCATTTATAACCTGACGCGTTCACCCTGCTGCTGTGTCCGGTTTCCATTGGCTGGAACGGGACCTCACATTCTGTATTTGTCCTGATTGATTGGCTAGCAACTTAGAACCTTTTAAAAGAGGCAAAGGTAGAGGAGAACAAAGGAAGGAGGAGGTAACTTGTGGAATGCTGAGAAAGGTAAAAACACTTTTAAATAAGGAAGAGGAACAGGCTATGACCTAATGCTTGCTTGGACCAGTATAAGCATGCCAGGGCAAATATTTAGGCTAAATTGTGGGAGCTAAGAACACAAAGTACATTGATTTCTTTATTACGGCTAGCAGATATTTAAGAATGTTAGCACAGGTCTTTGAATAAATTTTGCTTTTAAGAGAAGTTACTATTTATTCCTAATTAGACAGGGAGGAAAGGAATTTGAAGAGGAACCTCTACTTTACTTTTTATACCTCTACCCTCACAGGTAGATAGCTATCCAGTACTTCCTAAAACTGCCCAGTTTGAGCATTCATTCTTACATTGTTTATATTTGTCCTTCAGTGATTGCCAGTCATTGATCCTAGTTGATCCTGAGCAACAAAGAATAAATATAACCACTTTCCATCCAGTGTTAACAACTTTAGCAAAACAGTCTCTACTGTGCATGTGAGGAGAGTGTGGTGTTGCCAAGATTGAAGAGGCTGATAGTAGGGCTGCCAGAAAGAATGCAATGTTTGGAATATGTTTATACTAAAAAATTGTTGTTGATTTAAAAATTCAAATTTAACTGAGCATCCTCTATTTTTATTAGCTCAATCTTTCAATCTTACAAGTTTGGTAGCTAATGAAATCAAAGTTGAGCTAGTGAGCTGGAGGCAGGAGAGGGAAGAATAGAGCTACGTCCTGCTCAGTTCTGCTCAGTCCCATCTCAGTTCTCTGGCTACTCAGCACATCTGTAGAAGCCACATCAGAGCACCCATGCCTACAGAACATACTGTTTACGGTCACTTATTCTTGGATAACTAGCTCTCTCCACTAAAGAAAAACATACAAACTTTCCTTTCCCACTACATAACTCCCACTCCCATGAACTTTAATCTTGCTAATCCAAACCAAATTTCTAACTCAAGGAGAAGGTAGGGAAGTTGTTCTTTGATTGCAGGGGCCCACATTACACTTTGCATACACACCCATGTCCCCTACTTACCCCACGTCCACCACTTACCCCACAACTTTCACAGTTCAGCCCAAATATTTAAAGACAACTACCATTTTAACTAAAATGTCATAATTATCTGACTTATTTCCAATGCCTCCCATAATTCCTCACATTCCAGAGTCAATGAACTTGAAAGAGGTCAATGAACTTCAATCCTCTGGATTAGATTTGAACACTTTTATGTATCTTAAAATAGCATTGCATCCAAATAGCTAATTAACATATGAAAAGGTGCTTAATCTCCTTAGTACCAACAAGGAAACACAAAACCACAAATACCATTGTAGCAGGACGAGCCATAGACAAAACCCCTCAGACACCAGGTTAAAGAAGGAAGAGGCTTTATTCAGCCGGGAGCGCTGGCAGACTTGCATCTCAAGAACCGAGCTCCGGGAAGAAAGAGTTCCTGGTCGTTTTAAGGGCTTGCAATTCTAAGGGGTTCCACATGAAAGGGTCATGATAGATTGAGATCTATAGATAGCACATGTGATTAGAATCGGGGGTTAATCTTTTAACCTCAGACCTGGTCATCAGTGGCGCTGGCTGGTATTGCCACTGACTTCATTCCTGTGTTCTTCAGCTTTTACTTCCTCCTTCTCTTCAGAGACAGGAGACAGTAAGAGAAATGGCCTGTCTCCTCACCACCACTTACCTAGCAAGATGACTTAAAACTTGAAAAGACTGACAAAATAAGTGTTGGCTGAGATATGTAGCAACTGAACTGTCAAACCTTGCCTGAGGGAGTGTAAGTTGGTACCATTACTTTGGAAAGCTGTTTAGCAAGATCTACTCAAGCAGGGGTATCCAATCTTTTGGCTTCCCTGTGGTACACTGGAAGAGGAAGAATTGTCTTGGGCCACACATAATACTAATGATAGCTGATGAGCTAAGAAAAAAAAATCACAAAAAAATCTCATAATGTTTTAAGAAAGTTTACAAATTTGTGTTGGGCTGCATTCAAAGCCATCCTGGACTGCATGTGGCCACAGGCTGTGGGTTGGACATGTGTATATCCTATGACCTAGCAATTCCACTCCTATGTATATACCCAAGAGAAATGCATACATCTGTTCACCAAAACACATATATAAGAATGTTCTTAGCACCATTATTCATAATGGTCTAAAACTGGGAACAACCCATAAGTCAACAGTATAGTGGATAAATGTTTTGTGGTATAATCAGGCAAAGGAATACTATATAGCATTGAAAATCAACAATTATTGATATACAACAACATGGATGAATATCACAAACACAAAAGATGTAGTATGATTTCATTTATATAAAGTTTGAAAGCTGGCAAAGGTGATCTATGTTGTTAGAAATAAGAAAGGTTACCTTCAGGGAGAAGAGAAGAGTAGTGACTTGAAGGTGGCATGAGAATAACTTCTTGACTGCTGGTAATGTTTTTCTTCTTGCTATGAATGGATATTACATGGATTTGCTCACCTTAGAGTAATTCAAGTTATACATTTATGATTTGTACATTTTCCTACATGTATGTTATGTTTCAATAAAAGTTTTTTAAAAGATAGCATTAATTTGCAGTAAATCTAGTTTTTTAACACCTTGTGCTTATGCATTTGATTTTGTTAAAAATTCTAAATACAGCACTTCACACTTATTCTTTTGAAATTTCATTATTTTGGTTGATTTCGATATATTAAGATCCTAGCTCTGACATCAGTGCATGAGTTCTCTCACTATATTTTCAAATTTTATTTTCCCTCAGCTTTATTAAGGCAAAAATGACAAAAATTGTACAGATTTATGGTGTACAATGTGATGTTTTAATATATGTATACATTATGAAATAATTAAATCAAGGTAATTAACATATCATCTCACATACTTAACGTTTTTGTGTGGTGAGAACATTTAAGATCTACTCTCTTAGCCATTTTGAAGTATATTATACTTTATTAACTGTATTCACCACGCTCTAGGTTAGATCTCCAGAACTTTTTCATCGTGTCTAATTGAAACTTTGTATCCTTCAACCAACAACATCTCATTCCCCCCACCCATCCCCAGCCCCTGGCACCACCATTCTACTCTGCTTCTATGATTTTGACTTTTTTAGATTCCGTATATAAGTGAGATCATTCAATATTTTTGTCTTTCTGTGTCTGGCTTATTTCACTTAACATAAGGCCCTCCAGGTTCATCCATGCTATCATACAAGAAAGGATTTCCTTCTGTTTTAGGTCTGAACAGTACTCAGTTGTATATATTATCCAATGTTTTCTTTATCCATTCATATGTTAATGAACACTTGGGTTGGTTCCATATCTTGGCTATTGTGAATAGTGCTGAAATAAACATGGGAGTGCAGGCATACTGATTTCAATTCCTTTGGGAATATACCCAGATGTGGGATTGTTAGATCATATGGTAGTTCTATTTTTAATTTTTTAGGAATTTCTATATTGTTTTCCATAATGGCCGTACTTCCAGTTATATCTTTATCAAAGTACTCTATCATGCCCATGGAGGCTTACCTCTGAGTTGACACCAGAATACTAATTAATTTCCATTAGGTGTGATTGTTAACCAGCCAATTATATTTTCTTTATTCCTATAATTTTGTATATTTTACTCACAAGGATATGAAAAATTTGGCCAAATGCCTTAAAGTCAATATATACATTGTCTATAGCAGTCTCTTGATTTAAAAATTTAATAACTCTTCCAAAAAAAGGAAATAATGTTGGCTTGATCTTGGCTCTGAATCCATGTGACTCCTTTTAATCACCTCTTGCTAATCTAAATAACCACTGAGACTGCTCCCAAATATTCCAACTCTCTTTCCTATTGTGCACATAGTAGGAGTGCACTTCCCTGCCTACTTGAAACTAGGCATGGTCATGTAATTTGCTTTGGTCAATGCCATGAGGAAAAGCGAAATACGTCACTCTGGGAGTAAAATGAGTATACTCCACTACATCCTCTTTCCCACTACCTTGACAACCAGAATGTTCCAGCGTGGGTCCCAAAGTGAAGGCAAAAACAGAGGGTTTTTTTGCCTTCAAGGGACCCACATAGGGACATGCAGTATGAGCAAGAAATGAACAAGGAATAAGCCTTTGTGATTTCAAGCCATTGAGATTTCAAAGGTATTTGTTAAGGAAACATAACCTGTATTATCTCAACAAATACATTATGTTTACTGGTCTGTGTTTTCTGGGATCCACGAGTAGCCTCATCTTTTGAAATTTAGAAGAGAATGTGCCCATCTCTTCTGAAGAGATGGTATTCCAGCCCATCTCTTGTTCTCCATGGTTTTTTGAGAATACTCACATTATACCTGTCAGTTCTTTCAGTATCTGTAGATATATGTTGTCTGGGACTAGCTAGAATTTATTTAAAATGACTGTGTGCTTTAGCACTACTTATCTTGGATTTCAATTCTTTCCTAGCCATGCTTGTTATACTTTTCAATTCTCTATGGTGGAGAAGGTAGAAACAAAAGAAAAGTTGTATAGAACACCATACTTAAGCTTCGCCCTTATTCCTCTTTTATTAATTACCTTGTTTTCAAGAAAGCCTTTAAAAGTCCCTCTGGGTTTTCTTAACTTTAGCATTTTTTTGTAAGTCTTTCATTCTGGACATTCCATTTTCTTGTACCTTTCTTTTTATTATTATCATTATTATTATTTTAGAGATGGGGTCTCACTCTGTCACCTAGGATAGAGTGCAGTGACACGATCTCAGCTCCTTGCAGCCTTGACCTCCTGGGCTTAAGCCGTCCTCCCACCTCAGCCTCCTGAATCGCTGGGACTACAGGCTCATACCACCACATCCAGCAATTTTTTTTTTTTTTGGTAGAGATGAGATTTCACTATGTTGCCCAAGCTGGTCTTGAACCTGGGCTCAAGCAACACTACTTTGTAGGCTTCCCAGAGTGCTGGGATTATAGGCACAAGCTTCTGCACCTAGCCTCTCACTTCTTAAAAGTTCATATAGCACCAAATTTACTATCTGAAGTTATTTATTTGATTTAATTTTATCTATTGACTGTTACTGGCACATGCTGTGGTCTTTTGCTGCATTTTTAGTGCTATCCTTTTTTTAAAAAAACCTTAGTTATATACTTCTTTCTTTTGTTCACTTCTTAACATTTGAGTTTGCCAGGGCTTTTCCTTTTAAAGGCTATATAATATGTAACATTTAGCACTCATTTTTTAGAATACTAAATACATTTTTAAATGTATACTATATACATTTTAAAGTTTGTCTGTTAAATGTACAAATATTTTTCCCTGAGTTATTTTTAAAATACTTCCCCTTAAATCTAAGGGATATAAGTGACTGTCTCAATTTTTTCCTTGAATACTCTACTATATCCCAATATGACCTATGTCTGTCTGAAATTACTAACCAGTTCCTCTCTGCTGGTCAGAAGTAAACCAAAAAAAAACAGTTCCTTTTCTTAAAAAACAAATCCTCTTATTTTCTGTATAACCTATTCCAGTAACTTGGATTGCTCTGAAAAAGTAAAGGGTGTTTGCTTTTACTGTTCAGGCTGGTAGAGCATGATTTTTACAACATTTAGGCATGAGCATTTCATCTGTCCTGGCAGCTACAGGAAGGCCTTAGGAAATCCTAGTTTTCTCAGAACTAACTGGGTAACAAATTGAAATTTCAGCGTTTCCTTCCACTTAGAGCTTAAGGCCTTCCATCTTTCCAGCTGCCACACACACACACACACACACACACACGCGCACACACGCGCACACACACACACCCTTCTGAATTCTTTTCTTCTATTTATTTAACATTATACCTTTATAGGCTTAATCTCTTGCCTATATACAAAACTCTAATACTCACTTACATATAAATACACTCACACACACAAATCACATCTACACTTGATTTTTTTTTTTTTAAAGACAGAAAAAAGTAAAAGACCAAGGTAGAGAGAGGGGGAAAAGGAAACATGAGGACAGAAGAAAAAGAAGTCTGGCCTGAGTGAATAGAGCTAACAACCCTATTTAGCTCTACTTGCCCTGCAAGGGCCTACCCCTTCTGGCAAATGAGTGGAGGCGTTCAGCTACCCTCTTTCACCCCAGCCTCTTTGTAATGGTGCTCACTTTTGCAACAGCTGTTCAGGGTGGGAGGGTTCTTCCTCTGTATAGAAACTGGCCCTTTTGGAGTCTGGCTCAACAACTCTGGCATTTTCACCACTATAAGCAGGCCGCAGGTTAGAACAAAACAAATGGAGAAAGAGCAATAGGAAAATGAGCAAATGAATATATCAGATTTCCTCTATTTCAATTTTCTTTTTAGAAGACCTATCTGGAGACTGCTTCCTGTCACCATAAAATCCTGAACATTTGTCTTGAACATGAACACTCCAAGAGAAGAATTCCAGGACTGGCCCATAGTCAGAATAGCAGCTCATTTACCAGACCTCATTGTCTATGGACATTTCTCCCCAGAGCGACCCTTTATAGATTCTTTTGATGGAGTCCTGATGTTTGTTGATATTTCAGGCAAGTGCAAAAGGGATGTTTGTTTAATATGGATGAACAACAGGCTCACGTGGGAAGTCACATGCAGAGCTTGACTGCAGAGTAGGGAGGCCATTCTGGAGCCCCTGGGCTTCACAGCAGATGTGCTCCATTGAGAACACAAGAGGGAGGAAATAGTTTGTGGCCCTGGCTCTCTCTCATCCTCCCTTACCCAGCACTGCCAGTCATGGGCATATCTTTAAGATTCTCAAGTTCCATTCTTTGCTCCTGTGTCTCTTCCCCAACTTCACTGACTCATCCTCCCCAGCCCCAAGCCCCACACACATCCCAGTCAAAACTGACCTCAGGAAATGATCTCCCTAGATGATGTTTACATCTTACTAATAAACTTGCCACCTCTTCAGAAGTGTTTGAAATGTGTGTGATTTTGTTACCACGGACTGAAAATTTTATTCCCAGTTAAAGAAGTTGCAGTTATCACTGTACAGTAGAGAATTCGGAAGAAAGATATATCTGGAGCCTTTTCCTGGCCCCTAAAATAATAGATAGAGGAGGCTGCATGTCTGACACTTGACCAGCCACAAAGATCCCTAAGAAGAAACTCTGCCTGTTTTTAAAAGCTGAGGCCGCCGGGCGTGGTGGCTCACGCCTGCAATCCCAGCACTTTTGGAGGCTGAGGCAGGCGGATCACAAGCTCAGGAGTTTGAGACCATCCTGGCTAATGCAGTGAAACCCCGTCTCTACTAAAAATACAAAAATGAGCCAAACATAGTGGCGCATGCCTGTGGTCCCAGCTACTTGGGAGGGGGAGGCAGGAGAATTGCTTGAACCCGATAGGCGGAGGTTGCAGTGAGCCGAGATCACGCCACTGCAATTCAACCTAGGCTACAGAGCGAGACTCTGTCTTGAAAAAAAAAAAAAAAAAAGCTGAGGCTCACTGCCTTCCTGGGTAGTCCTCTTCTGGCTCTGTTTGATTTCCCCAGGCAGCCAAAGAAACCAGCTGCACATTTATTCCAGGTTTTACTGCAATGACTGAGAAGTTCAGCAGTGCCATGTACATGGACAAAGGGGCTGAGCAGTTGGTGGAGATCCTCAACTACCACATCAGTGCAATAGTGGAGAGTAAGTGTTCCCATAGGTTTCTGACTTGAGAATATTTCAGTTCATTGTTTTTTCTGTAGTTGTCAATTATAACCTGATAGAGTACAATTGCTTAGCACTCCTCCTCTTCCCCATGAAATGTGTATAAAACCAGTCTTTTTTGAAATATGATATAGTATAATTGGAGAAATAAACATAATCAAACCTCACTAATACAGACTATTTGAGGGAAGGGATATTTTGTGTTAGAGGGCTGAATTATAAACTGCTTTTAAAAGAACTGTAGTAGTAATACTTTTAACTATATGACATATCCAGGTATTTATTTTTATTTATTTATTTATTTAGAGACAGAGTCTTGCTCTGTCGCCCAGGCTGGAGTGCAGTGGCACAATCTTGGCTCACTGTAACCTTCACCTCCTGGGTTCAAGCAATTCTCATGCCTCAGCCTCCTGAGTAGCTAGGATTACAGGCGCCCACCCCCACACCCAACTACTTGTTGTATTTTTAGTAGAGATGGGGTCTCACCATGTTGGCCAGGCTGGTCTCAAACTCCTGACCTCAAGTGATCCACCCGCCTCAGCAGCCCCCAAAGTGCTGGGATTACAGGCGAGAGCCAACGGTGCCCAGCTATTTTTATTTATTAATTTTTTTTTTTTGAGCCAGAGTCTCACTCTGTCTCCCAGGCTGGAGTGCAGTGGCATGATCTCGGCTCACTGCAACCTCTGCCTCCCAGGTTCAAGCGATTCTCCTGCCTCAGCCACCCAAGTAGCTGGGATTACAGGCGTGTGCCACCATGCCCAGCAATTTTGTATTTTTTTTTTTAGTAGAGATGGGGTTTTACCATGTTGAACAGGCTGGTCTCGAACTCCTGACCTCAGGTGATCCTCCCGCTTTGGCCTCCCAAAGGGCTGGGATTATAGGCGTAAGCCACCGCGCCTGGCCTATCCAAGTATTTTTAAAAGCCAGCATCTATATAACCCAAAGATAGTCATTAAGAGATTGTTGTATGAGTAGATAAATGATTTATAATTAACTTCTCAATAATTTGTCTCCTAATGATGGATGCTGAAGCACTTAGAGTAAACTGAAAACTTTAGTCCCCTTGTCAACCTCTGCCTGCCATCTTGTTTGCATTGTTAATTCCAACTATTCTTGAAGACAACGGTTTACTCTGTTATGGCGAACTCCTGGCCTAGTGTTTTATCAGGCTCTGAGTTCCTTAGTAATATCTTGATGTTACCCACTAGACAAAATTTAATGCTTCATAAAAGCAGGAACTATGGTTGATTCCTTTCTGCATCTGACTTGGCACAACAGGTGCTTAGCCAATCCATGATGATGCATAACGAAAAGAGAGAATGGCCATTTACGCCATACAGTCTAAATAAACAAAATACAAAGTTAGTAATAACCAAAAATGCAAGTGACTATGGTTGTGATTTTCCCATTCCCTGACTCCTAGTTTCTGTGGAGTCCTGTCATTCATCCACCCACCCATGCTTACGCAAGCCCCAGCCTATAACATATATTGATCAATAAATTAATTAAAAGCATTCCATTATCGTGGGAGGAGGGCAACTGTCTTCAGACCTCATCAGAGGGCAGCTGTCTTCAGACCTCATCAGAAACCCTACATGTCTTTCTCCTTTCTTTCTCCATTCACAGAAATGGAGCATAGACGTACACTGGTTCCATGTATTCATTCTCCACTTGAGGAAACAGACTCAAATGGGTTAAGTGGCTTGTCTGGGATGAGATCTTTAGTATAAGTCTATTCTCTGAATCACTGTTCTTTTGACCTAGTTTCTATTCCACTAACAAAGAATGATTTTTTTTTTAACTGCTTTTAAGGAATCAGTGTTTGATTTAATTTGTTGTTGTTGTTTTTTTTTCTCAGAAGTGTTGATTTTTGGAGGAGACATCCTGAAATTTGCAGGTATGGGGGCTTATTAAGATAGGAGGGGTAAGAAAGGAATGCTGAGATGCCTGTGCTTCTGTGCTGGGGACAAAGGAGGCATCCTAGAGAAGGCAGTGGCCAGGAGATAGGCTGAGGAATGCTTGATGAGTAAGTTTCTATACAGATCTCATACAAAATAGATTGATCCCCAGGGCAGGTCAAAAGCCCGCGGCATGTCTCTCTCTGAAGGTGATGCACTGCTAGCCCTGTGGAGGGTGGAGCGAAAGCAGCTGAAAAACATTATCACAGTGGCAATTAAATGTAGCCTGGAGATCCATGGATTGTTTGAGACCCAGGAGTCTGAAGAAGGCCTAGACATCCGAGTCAAGATAGGTAAGCATTTGAGAAGGAATAAATCCTATGGCAGTTGGGATAGGGGTCTTGACTCCTGGGGCATCTCTCTCTCCCAAAGAGAAGTAGTAGAACATGGTGGCTCAGCCCCATGATGCCCTGGACTTTGGAATCAGGACAATCAGAATGTGAATTTTGGCTTCCTCACATACCAGTTGAGAGAATTTGGGCTACATAATATCTATCTAATAAGCTATTACAAAAAGTAAATTAGTTGGCATGGTAGTTGATGCATAGGAACCACTCAACAAAATAGTCTTTGTTACTGCTACTGCTTTTATTATTATTCCATCTTGCTGCTTGTCAAGGTTGTGCAGTATAAAACAAAATAGAGACTAGCTTGCCATCACATAGTTTCAGCAATGGCATGAGATTGGTCACCCCCTACCTCATAAGAATGATGTGCAGGAAAAACTTAACAGGTCAGCCTGCAGCACAGCTCCAGCTTTATACAAGGCTTCTTAAGGTTATACTTATAGTAACAATCACACGTATTTCCTTATTACATTGCAGACATTACACACTATGCATGTGCAAATATTACCCACATTATATCACAGTCCTGAGATATAGGCATCATTGTATCCATTTCAAAGATGAAAAACGAGATTCTGAGAGGTATAAGTAATGAGTAACAGCTAGAGTTATGGTTGGTGCTGTTAGTGTTAGCTTCTGCCTAACTAAACTTTGCAAAACTTAGAATTCTCACATGTCGTACCTGGTGGGATCATCAGCAGTTATACAATTAACTGTTTCTCAGCCTTCTTCAACCTAGGCCCACTTTTGATATTGTTAAAAATTTCCAAATAAGGCCGAGTGCAGTGGCTCATACCTGTAATCCCAGCACTTTGGGAGGCCAAGGTGGGTAGATCACCTGAGGTTGGGAGTTTGAGACCAGCCTGACCAACATGGTGAAACCCCATCTCTACTAAAATACAAAAATTAGCCAGGCGTGATGGCGGGTGCCTGTAATCTCAGCTACTCGGGAGGCTGAGGCAGGAGGATCACTTGAATCCACGAGGCAGAGGTTGCAGTGAGCCAAGATGGCGCCATTGCACTCCAGCCTGGGCTACAAGCGTGAAACTCCATCTCAAAAAAAAAAAAAAAAAAAATCCAAAGAAGTTAAATATTTTGTTGGAAAAAAAAATCAAAGTTATATAATACTGAATATTTTTTCTAAGTTAGCACTCAAGGAGTCTGATGTGTTATCCTTCTTGAGAAGGATGGGAACCCAGCCCCCTCTTGCATGCTGATTGGCTGTTAGAGAGGTGGGTCCCAGCACCTTTTTTTAGAGTAAGTCCGAACATCAGTGTGTTTCAGATAGAAAACAAACTGTATGTAGTATCAGGGGGAAATCAGCCTTGACAAATCAGTACAGCAGAGAGCGAAGATAAAAAATAAACTTTGATTGTATTACAGTCATTTAAAAGAAATGTGTGTCACTTATAGTTCATTTATACATATATTTTGTGTACGTGTCGTGTTATACAGTTAGACGTCTTCTATCACTCGGGTACCAAAACTTTCATTTACCAACTTAAAAACAATGAGAGAAACTGTTGTTGGGATGGGATGTGTAACTGTCAAATGCGTACTTCTTTTCCCCACCCTCTGTTGTCTAAAATTCGACCCTAAGGGATTATTTTTAGTTACAGCTTCAATCTCTGCTAAAATGCAAATTATCCCAAAATAAGAATTATTAAAAGTATTCCCTGTTGCCCTTAAGTATACATAATTGAAGAAAAGGTAAAAATACCTTTGGGGACTGGTAGGACCATGTAGGGAGAAAAATGTTACAGACAGGCAAAAATTAGTGGTAGAACTTTCTAGCTTTGGAAGAAGGGGAGTTTTGGAAGGCCCGAGCCCAAAAGAGGTATGCCATAATTCCTATGTAAAGTTTTAGAAGTGAGATTTTGCTCTGAGGTAGTATAGTCCCACAAAGATTATGATTTTTCCAAGAACCTGTGCTGCTGGGAAATAATCCAGAACTTCTTGTGCAAACCTATTCCTTGCCTTCTTGCCAGGACTGGCTGCTGGCCACATCAGCATGTTGGTCTTTGGAGATGAAACACACAGCCACTTTCTGGTGATTGGTCAGGCAGTGGACGATGTGCGCCTTGCACAGAACATGGCTCAGATGAATGATGTTATTCTGTCACCAAACTGCTGGCAGCTTTGTGACCGGAGCATGATTGAAATTGAGAGCATTCCAGATCAGAGAGCGGTTAAGGTGGGTGTGATGCTGCTACTTGCAGAAAAGTTCTGCCAGCCTGTAACAGAGGCACCCTGCCAGAACAGTCACTGGGCATGCTGGTTTCATAAAGCTCCTGGGTTGGAAATTGGGATGGCGTCAGTCTGGGTTAGGCTAAGGACGCTTTAGTCCAGGGCAGCTCCTCTGGGAGGAGCCAAGGCTGGTTAGCTTGAGGAGGAAATGATTAGGCTTCTTTGTGGGTAACTGAGGATATGGAATTTGGGGATTGAGGCCTTTTGAGGGGCTAGTGACCTAGCTTAAGGAACCAGAAGGGTCTGCCAGGTCACCCGGGAGCAGAGGGGAATAGTTTTAAAGGCTGTCATTGATCCTCACTTTCTTTACCCAACACCCTCCTAACCCAGGGTGAGGGATCACTGAGGGTAAAGATTGGAGTTGAGCAAGTGTGGCGAAGTTCAGTGATAGAAGAGACACTTTTCCTGTGGCTCTGCCTAGTAGAAAACATTGTGGTTAAGTTGCAGATTGACTATAAGCAGAACTGTCCCTGGGATATGGCCAATTAGAAAAGCCGTCCTTTGAGGGTATGAAAGTGGAAGAAAGGCTGGGCGTGGTGGCTCAAGCCTGTAATCCCAGTACTTGGGGAGGCCGAGACAGGCGGATCACGAGGTCAGGAGATCGAGACCATCCTGGCTAACACAGTGAAACCCCGTCTCTACTAAAAAATACAAAAAACTAGCCGGGTGAGGTGGCGGGTACCTGTAGTCGCAGCTACTCGGGAGGCTGAGGCAGGAGAATGGCGTAAAACCGGGAAGCGAAGCTTGCAGTGAGCTGAGATCTGGCCACTGCACTCCAGCCTGGGTGACAGAGTGAGACTCCGTCTCAAAAAAAAGAAAAAAAAGAAAGTGGAAGAAAGATGTGCTGCTAGATGAACCAAAGGGACAGGACTACACGGCAGAAAGAATCTGTGCAGATGCTGGCCAAGATGGGAGGCACTCCCACACTCATGCATCAGCCTACAACCCTCACCACCACCACCCCCTCCTCACTCTTCCAGCAAGACATACCCAG